GGGAAGTGGACTGAAGGAACTGATGAACAAAATCAATCAAGACTGCCGCTCTTACTGGTCAACACATGTGGCTACGGACCACGCTTTGCTGCAAGCCAAATTCTCCTTACGCCTGACTGTTTGGGTTACATATAAATGTCTATGTAGTTGTCATTTCTTGCCGAAATCACTCTGTACACCGAGTGTTGAATGTGCGGTTCGAGTAACTTGTGGTTTACGTTTGTTGGTCAGTTACTTCAATTTTCTTGTCTCTCGAGAACAGACCCACCTTTTCCCTATGTCGCACATTCTTGTTCACTCTATCCTCCCCTCAATAGGAGCCTGTATTCTGCTATTATGGTGATATTACACAAGGTTGGCGGGGTTGTATATTGCTTTTTGGTTTCCTACTTCAGTTTTGTTTACAATATTTTCCATTTTGATTTTCTTTTTGCGACTGTGATTTTGTGAAATCTATTTCCTACGATGAATGTTTGCCACTGCTAATAGACCACACTCATCTTTTTCTCTTTTCAGAAGCAGCGGTTGTTCTCTCTCATGTTCTGGTACCAGCGGAAATGTGAGCATGGCTGCCCTACCTGCTTCGGCCAGCATGATGAGCAATGCGTTGTCTGGCAGTCTAAGCAATGGTAGTAGCCCGCTTGGTGGTGCTCCACTTTTGCCACCTCATGCACCTCATGCGACTGGTATCACCTGCCACTGTCATACCACCTTCATACCCCCACCACCTGTTCCACCCCACGCTAGTTCCACTCGATCCACCGACTCCGCAGGCCAAATAACTGGTACCACATTCGAGTCACAAGATGCTCTCAGTGGCAGTGGAGAAGCAGGTACTTTGCGACAGACATCCATTCCGGTTGATGGGTTATCACGCTACAGTCCAGAATCGGGCTTACCACATGACGACACATCTCATCAAGGTGATCTGGTACCCGAGACCTGTATTATGGTTGGTGAGTCTTCCTCGTCAGAAGAAGACGACGATGACGAGGAGGAGGAGGAGGAGGAGGACGAAGAGGAGAATCTTAGCAGTCCAACCAGTCCTATCGCTCCTGGAGTTCAACATTTTGCCGGCGAAACTCACTCTAGCGGCTTGCCTACTCCAATGACAGCCTCTAAGGTAAGCCTGATGTGCTCTTCGTTTATCTCAGTCGTGTTAAACTGAGTAGTTTAAGAGTACCCGTTGTGTGCACTTCAATCTGAATTTACTGTTCAATACCACGCCTAACCCAGTGAGGCCTGATATGTTTCACCACTCCAAGTCTCCAGTTTCCATCACTAAACCGCGGGTCCTCGTGATTTTCGCGGTTCACGCCATCCGCTTTTCATCGCACTAAGGTGTGTAATAAAAAGAAGTGTTTTCCGATCTGTATGTTGTAATTTGAGCAACTAACGGATCGAAACACGGAACTTACACACGCGTGCTCTTCATCGTGACTGTCGTAGTATCTTAGCAAGGGTACCAGCGTTCTACTCGGACAACTTGAGCTGTAGGATGTGTGCACAGGGCTCTGATCGCAATCCATCGCATGCGAATCATACCGTATTCCTTAATTGTTATATTAATAATGATATATATATATATATATATATATAAAATAGCCTCATACACATCTGAATCCAGACTGTGTGCCAAACAAACCATGATACCATAATCTTTATGAAAAAGAGAAACTTTCCATGACTTGCATACGGACGGAATACTGCCAGGCTGTCCAGGCCAAGGCAGGGAAATTCTCTTGAGGAATCCGCAACCGGCTAACCAGAGCCTGCCTGACCCGCAAGGCAGCGCGGGGCAGTGTGCGAAAACCGCAATTCATTGGGTGGCCGGTGTCCAGTTCTCATCGGATCATTAGTCGCCCTTTGGACGTCCAAGGTGCCCAATACACCTGGGTGCCCAACTGGGCCGGTGACCATTGTCACAACCGAAAAGATGTGTGTGTGTGTGTGTGTGTGTGTGTGTGTGTGTGTGTGTGTGTGTGT